GTCGTGTGCTAGTGTCGAATAGGTTTACTCTTGATTAGTTCTTGAACCTTTTCAAGATCATTTAGACTCCCACTGACCCCTTGACATATTAGATTATATGGTCAAGAAACATTTCTTGACAAACAAATATTCAGGAGTTAGTGAAGATTCTTATCAAGACAAACACTACACACAATTGGTCTTAGTTGGTCTTTGTCTTATCCAAGACATCACAACTTATCAATTTCAAACATGCAAGAGTAAGAAAAACATTTTTCTACTCCACATTTGATGAGTGTGTTAAAAAACTTCTTAAGATGTGTCACTCAAGTCATAATCTTGGAGTATGACTCTAAGACTTGATTTTGGAACAAAGTATGATTCACCTTTTGATTTCACCATTTCAACAATTTCCTATTCCTCTTCTTAGCCACACTAGTGCACTAAGGTGTCCTTAGAGGATCAATTGTGATATGGTTTCATAATCAATAAGACGATCATAAAACATGATACTAAAGTGTTGGATTAGGTGTCTAAGTTCATAACTATTTCTGGAATGTACTTGACCCGATTAGCATGGTCTATTTCGGTTGCATGACATTGCAACATTTGGATAGATTGAATGAGAGAAAGGATACTTAAGGATTATTAATATATTATAAGTTCTAATATATTAATAATATTATTTAATTAGTATTGATCAAAGAATAAATTTGGAATTAATTAAGTGATCAAAAAGAGACTAATTAAATATATGGGGTTGATTGTGTAAATCATCTATTCTTGTATAGTGGGCTAATGATCCATGGTTTGTATGGGTTGGGTTAAAACCTATAAGGTGCTCCATGGATAGTCCATGGAGGATACAAACCCATGAATCATGGAATATGGAAAGCCATGGCAATTAGGGTTTACATGGTGTAACCCTACTTGTGCCACAACTATATAAAGACCCTTAGTCTAGCAAAAATGGGCACTACAAGCAAGTCATAGAGGGCTAGCCGATTTTTGAGTGTTAGTGAACTTCTCTCAAGGTAATTCCAAGTGTTGTGGTGTTGTTTGATACATTTGAGGCATCACACTTGAGGTGCTAGGATTACAAGGTTCTCAAGGAATCCAAGCAACAAGAAAGGTATGTTTTTCTTACTAGCTTTGTGATTCAAGTTCCAATGCTATGCTAGATAGTTGAAGAACCTTGGAAAATCAAATTTGTATGTATCTTAGTCAAACATAGATCCAAGGTTTCTAGGGTTGCATGTACACCTTAGGAGTGTTAGAATGCTCCAAAACCCTTCATATTGTACTCTCCCATCTTTTCAGAGTGGAGAAACATTTGTCTTTCTGCCTAATTGATTCTTCTTATTTGTTCTGGCAGTCATTGAAACTTTTCAATGATTTAGAATTATACTTAATCCTGTAAGCATAACCACATTTACTAGACTTTTAGTAAATCATGACGAATAATCTTATTGTTATTTGTGGTGGACTTGACCAGTGCACAACATTGCGTACTAGATCTCCTTAGTCTTTCACTTGACTCACATACTTATGTGAACAAGGAAATAATCTTAATTTTCTAAGTACCAAGATTTCCATACATGAATCAAATCATATGATTCCAAGCTTCTGACCAATTAAAACTTGGGAGATGGGAATCTTTCCTTACTTAGGAAATTTTGACACTACCGTAAATAACATAACTAAGAATCACATCCACTTAATATTGCTTATAATAGAAACACACAATCATCAATTTTCACAAATGACATTGCAAAGAGCTATAAATAAGACGAAAATCAAATTTTGTTTTATTTATAAAAGGTGTGGAAAACTTGTCCTTACAACGCAAATTCGAATGAAAACTATGTTATTACATATTCCTAAGCAATCTATCATAACTCTAAGCAGCAACTCAAAAATCTGGTCATCGAATCATAGGATCTAAATCCATTTCTTCGCGATCAGACTCAGCTCACTTCTTTTTTTAAGCTTCATTTCTTTTCTTCGATCTACAAAACATCAAAATGTAAGCTTATCACATCATGTATTTAGAATCTAAAATAGAAAACTTAATAGAGTTAGATAGTGGATTTTACCTGAAGCAGAGTCATACATCTTGACTCTACCATCTCTTAGATCTCTCAGGTAGTCAGGGCAGCTTCGGAACCAATGCCCCCTCTTTTGACAGTAGAAACATATGGATTCTTCTGGAATGGTACACGGGACTATCTCAAACTCAACCTTTCTCTTGCTTAGAGAAAACTTTTCTAGACTTCCAATGTTTCCATTGCCCATAGAAGGTTGGGATATTGATTTATTAGACAAATTTGCTCGACCAGTGCGCCAAATCATTGCTGATTTAGCAACAATAAGCAAATAAGTCAAATCAATAAGGGTCACGTCATGGTCCATCACATAGTACTCTCTAATGAACTTACTATATGATTCGGGAAGTGACTGGAGAACCAATTCAACAACCAACTTCCTTGAGACATTGATACCAAACATTCCCAATCTATCAATATGATACTTCATATCCTAGACATGAGCACATACAGACTTTCCATCTTCATGTTTGTTTACCAACAGGGCTTGAGTGACCTTGAACTTTTCAAGTCGTCGAACACATGGGTAGGGGAGAACTATTGGAGGAGGTGGAGGAAGTGAAGAATGATTTCCATTTCCACAATCCAATCGTGGAACATCATCTTTAAGCTGAAAACTTTTTCCAATGGATTCAGGGAAGATCATAGTTGATAGACTTTGACATCTACAAAACGGGAGAAATTCAAGTTAGTTGATAAAATCCTCAATACAGCACCCAAATGAAATATTGAGGCTAGGATCCAACAAAAGATTCTACAATTTGGAAGAGGGATGCCGTAATCCAAATTGTAGAACATTTGAAGGTAGGTTAATGACGATTTACCAATTTCCACCATGAAAAACGAAAATTAAAAATTTGGTTTTAAATGAATTGAAACTCCTAGATCCTTTAAGATTCATTGAATTTTTCAACGACATGTTTAAATATCGATTGTGCCCTTCAAGTTTGTGATTGGGATGCTGAGAATCACAAACAAGGTGTGGATAACCATGCAAATTAGCTTGATACTCTCGAAGATGCATATCACCTAATTAATGTGCTGGTTAACCACACACGCTCCATTGATCTATGATAATCTACAAGCTACCCTTTGCCATCCTTCATTGGTCCCATATTAGTGTGGCGGTTAACCACACACGATCCACTAACGACCAACAAGGTGCAATGTGCAATTTCATGGATTAGCACCAACTCACATTTTTCCTAAGGTAACTAAGATTTGGGAATTTGTAAAAGTGTTTAGTTACTTCATATTTCATTATATTTATAATGGAAGGTTATGTCCTATCCTACCCATTCGACTAACGACCCTCCACTAGTCAAGAGTGCGGTGGGTAAGAGTGGATACCCATTCAATCGCCATTTTATAGGCAATTTCCTTAAACACTCCTTAGTCCTTATAGACCAGCTTCGTGAATGAGACCTACTAACGGTAAGATTGACATTTACTTATACATATATAATATTAAACTTTTAATTCTATATAGTATAAGAGTGTATTTTACACTTTTAAAATACTAGTTGGTATAATTTAATAAATTATACTTTTAATTTAATTAAAATTAAACCATATCATTATGGATTTATTAACTTTCTTTTAATTACACATTTAATTAATTTAATTAAGCCCTAAGGGTATAATATGAACTTTTCAAAATACTAAGGTCTTAGAATTTAATATTTTAAATTAATACCTTTTAATTAAATTTTAAATTCCAAAACTTGAGGACAAGTTTTGAAACCTTTCAAAACGTTAGGGTTTAACTATTTAAATTTTAAAAACTAAAACTTTTAAGTTCAAATTTAAACTATAAAACCTAAGGGTGTAAATTGAAACTTTTTCAATCTTACTAGGTCAAATATTTGACTAATAATAATCCTATATTATCCATATTTAACTAAATCCATCAATTTTGATGAGGATAACCATTCCAAACTTAAAAAATCAGATTTTGGCAAGAAAAACAAGTTTTGGCAATTATCCTCAACAAAATCTGGCTAGAAAATCGAAATTCTCGCTACCAGACCCTTGGACTCGTCGAGTCCACTATGGAACTCGTCGGGTCTATACATGGACTCGGTGAGTCTGAAGGTTATGAGCATAACATCATTCCTATGGTGTTCATGCAACCTTAATTGCTTTGATCTAGCCTTTTCTAATTAAAAATACAACATTGAATACCAAAGCAATAAACCCTAATTGACTAGCATACAAATCTGAAAATCACATATGATTAGGGTTAGAAAGTTTACCTTGTTTGTTATGTAGCAATAATAATAAAAATCCTTCTTGATCTTGACTTCTGAAAGCCTAGTTCCGCAAATGTTGCACCTCTAATGGAATGACAAACACTCAATGCAACAAGATGACCTGGAGAGGGAAGGATTTCGGCTAGGGTTTCTCATAAAACTCATGGGGCTGAAAATCCTATGTAAAGGGATCCTTATATAGCTGTGTGGGCTGCTAGGGTTTTTGAAGGAAACCCTAATACCTTCTTAAGGCCTAAGCAAGCCATGGATTCCTTCCTTAGAGCCCTTGGACGAAATATTATGGGCTTCCCCATATATTTCGTCCACTCCACTCTATGGAGTCCATCAACCCAACTAGCAACTAACAATTAATTGCAATATCAGTCCCTTTTATTTAATCAGTCTCTTTTGATCACCAAATTAATTTCTGATCAATACTAATTAAATAATATGATTTCCAAATAATATATTAAACTTGTAATATATTAATAAAACCATTTCGAGTACCAATTTATTATTCATATAATAAATTATACTCTCTCTCCTCTTGTCATCCTGTCAAGTTGCATGAGTGAAGGCAACCCAAAAGGACCATGCTCATAATCGGGTCAAGTACATACCAAAATAGTTATGGGCTTAGACACCTAATTCAACAGGTACCACCATGAACAAGGGTGTTGGATCGTCTGATGACGGTGTGTCACTGATGGTTGTATCCACTTGCTCTGATGGCGTCACGGGAGTGACAGCCAGCTCCAGTGATATCATCGGTCGTACCGGGCTTCTAGGTGGTTATGAGGGTTCACCAACGGTTTCGTTCGTCATTTTGAAGGTGAGTTGGAATATGTTTTTGTGTATTGTTTGTCACACAAATGGACAAATCCAAATTATGCAACCTTGGCTCCGGCCACTTGCTCTAAGGATGTGCTCTTACGCCAGAGGGAATCTACGAGGTCACGATAGACAAGGCCGTTAGTCATTTTTCGGGAGGACATCATAGGAAAAACGCCTATTGTCCAATTAGTGGGAGATATCTGAGAGAGAGAGAGAGAGAGAGAGAGAGAAAGAGAGAGAGAGAGTAGTGAAAATCGGGAGAGCTAGCTTACCTCTCAAAGAAAGGGATAGGTCCTTATATACTGAGGACCATTCGTGGTCTGTACTAGGTACATGGACTGCAGCTGCGACATGATTTTCCATCCTGATTGGTTAATCATCTTCCTCGTTGTGTCTGTTCCAATAATTGGTTTAGGTGGTAATACTATGAGAATACTCCTTGTCGTCAGGAGCCGTTACGTTTGTCGTGTAGCAGAATGTGTCCTTGGCGGGGCCGGACCTTCCGTGCCGACGACCCGCCCTGAAGGAATGCCTGGGGGATGGAGGCCTGCTGGGGCGGCTATGCTGGGCCAGCCAAGACAGCTGAGGGGTCCTCCAGCCTGAGGGATCTCTACTCTTGGCCCACACTAAAGGGCACGTTATCACCGTTTAACAAAAAAACTCTTATACTTTTTGTTTATTAGTTTGTTTTTCTAAGAATTACCAACTAGATTTTTAAATCTAAATTATCTACCAATTAACAATTGACAACTACATTGATGAATCTTTGTTTTTCAAAGAATTACCAACAAGATTTTTGAATCTAAATTATCTAACAATTGACAATTAACAACTATGTTTATGAATCTTTAATAACATTTTAGCATTTTCATTTTGCAAAAAAGACCTTTATAATATATATTTTTCTTAAAATGGTTTCTTAATGAAAGGTTTCCTTATATCTCATGAAATCTAACTTATATATTTAAATGGTAAAACAAAATATAGATGCAAAAATAAAAATGAACATGACAGATGGTTTATACATTAGTTAATAAAAACTCAGTATATTATATTCCTAGAAAAAATTAATAGCAAATATATATAATTAATTAATTATATACCAAACTACTAATCATACATCTATTAGAATAAGTCAAAAGCTAATATACTTTTTAGCTTCTAGTGTTTAATAGAAAAGACAATACATATGTAGATACACAAACACATGCAATGCGCTATACTCTTTCACGCATTTGATAACACATGCAATGCGCTATACTCTTTCACACATTTTATAACACTATACCAAAAAAGTGTGTTACTATAGATACATACCTCTCTATGACATGCAATGTGTTGTACTCTTTAACACATATTAGCTTCTAGTGTTTAATTGAAAATACATTTTGTAAATTAGTTTTGTAAAACCAACAAGTGAATTTATTCACAATATGAATATTTAGTGTTTACAACTCCCAATGTGAATCTAACTTATTGATTTATGAATTGAATATAATCATTTTTCAATAGATTCACATTGCATATTCGCATTCAATTCACAATGTGAATCTAAGCTAAAATTTTGAGCATTCACAATGTGAATCTAAGTTAAAACTTTGAATTGTTTTTACATCAATATGAGTCTATATTTTAAAAATACCAAAAAATATGAGTTTTGATATATTTATTATTTTTTTAGATAACAAAAATAAACCTTAACTTTTCAAAAAACAAAGAAAATGAAGTATATTTTTTTTCCCACTTTGTTATATCAATATGGATCTATTTAAAGATGATGCAAAATCATAAACAATCGTATATTCGATGTTTTTTTCAACAAAAGTGCACACCAAAAAAAATAAAACTAAAAATAGGAAGTGAATTTTTGGTATAATCCGGTACCTGCACTTCAAATGTACAAATCCACAAACCTTTTGTTGACCATCGATTGCTTTAAATTCAGACACTTTGGATTGGTTCATTGACGCGTTCGATTAGTTCATTGGTTCCTAATTAATAATGGTTGTCCATTAAATTCTCTCTCTCTCTCTCTCTCTCTCTCTATATATATATATATATATATATATATATATATATATATATATATATAGGGACACTCATGAGGAATTAAATTTCCTTAGAGGCCCGGTACGAACAAGAAAAAAAAGACCATTGTCGTTATTATAAGTTGTTATTTTTAAATAAAAATATATAATAAAATGAGCATCCTCATGAAATTTGAAAAAAATATATTTCTTTATTTTTTATTTTTTATAAAACAAACCCAGAAAAAAAAAATTCTTCAAAAATATTGAAAATTTAAGGGATATTTCTACTCATTATATTAGTGACTTTGTAAAAAGAATTTATCAAAAATAAGTTTTTGAAGTGTTTATTTTTAATTTTAAGAAATATTAGGTTTTTTTTTTTAAAAAAAAATGTTGAACATAATATGACCCAAAATGTGATTAAGAATATTTATGATTCAAAAAACTTTTGGTTCAATTTGTTTATGATCTTTAATTTGTTACGATCTAAAATTATTTAAACTCAAATATTTTATAATCCTTAATTATAAATTTTATGATTCAAAATTAAATGATTCAAAATGTATAATGATCCATAATTTTAGTTGAACAAAAAATTTATTTAATTGAATATATTATTGATCCAAAATCATATGATTCAAAAATAATTTAATTCAAAATACTATAATTCAAAAGAATTTGATTCAAAATTTTATAATAAAAAATATGAACGAAAAATATTATGATCTTTAATATTTTTCTTCTTTAAAATTTTGTAATATTTAAACACCAAAAACTCGAACCGATATTTAATTTAAAAAACAAAAAAATCAAAAAATAAAAACAAAAATAAAGAAAAACACTATTATCTTCAAGTTTGTATTAAATATATTAAAAACATTAAAAAAAATGAAAAAAACGGAAAAAAGGAAAACGATATGTAAAAAAAAAACAAAAAAACAAAAAAATTAAAAAAATCATAAAAAATAGAAAACATAAAAACCGAGTGTATACCTGAGTAAGTTTTTTAATTTTTTTTAAATATAAAAAATATAAAAAACGAAAATAAATAATAAAACTCACTTAAATGAAGTTCTATGGACATTCGTCGCACACGATTAAATTCTCGAGTCCATATAATTACCACGGACATGGATCGCATGCGAACGCACCACGATCAAGTATTGAGTTTGACATTAATGCCCTTGATGAAATGGGTGGTGGAGAATTATCCTCGCATTCCTCCTCATTTTTGAGTCCTCACCACACCGACCTTATATATAAAATTCTTTTTACAAAGTCACCGGTCTGTAAAACTCACTATATTATATTCCTAAAAGAAATAAATAGCAAATATATATAATTAATTAATTATATACCAAATTACTAATCATATATCTATTAGGAAAGGGATAATGACTTAAAAGGGTAATGTTTTTTTGATTTGTATACATTTAGTCACTAATTTTTTTCATCCACATTTATCCCTTCAACTTATTAAATTGTACATATTTAGTCCTTATGCCCGGCTACTCTAGGTTAGCCGGTAAAAATGACTTAATAGGGTAATATATTTCTCACTTTGTACACATTTAGTCCTTAATATTTTTTACACATTTAGTCCTTAATATTTTTTTTGGTTGCAAAATAAGTCGTTTTTGTTTTTGTAGTCATTCAGTACTTATGAATGATTTCTTTAGGTTTTTCTCACGACATCTTACATGGGATAGCCATATGGCGGTGGGATAGGTTGAGGTGGTCATACTATATGCTGTAGGCCAAGATACCTGGTGCGGGCTAGCTGTAAGCCGTAGGCACGAAGGCTCTAGAAGAGTAGTTGGTTTAAGACGACATGCCGACAAACCCTAGGTATTCCAGTCTGATGACTGATTGGACCTGTTGCATCTTGACATTCCAGTCTGATGACTGATTGGGCAAAGGTATTCCATTCTGATGAGTGTGGCTTCGTTATGCATGATAATACGTTTGTTGTATCGAGTATTTTGGGGGAAACTCACTAAACTTTGTGCTTACCCAGTTGTTTATATTTTCAGGTTCTATCGTTGATCATGGGAAGACCAAGGCATGACTGTACACACTCATTAACAATATTGAGGATTCCACGTTTCTTATATTACTCTGATTTTCGATAAATGTATTTTGGAATAAACGTTTTTTTCTTAATAATGGATTTATAATTAGGGACTTTTTCCTTATTTAAAAATGAAAATTTTTTGTAGTGAAAATGAGACGTTACACATAAACATCAACAACCACACACACTTCATCAATGATGTCCCATGTAAGATGTCGTGAGAAAAAACCTAAAGAAACCATTCATAAGTAGTGAGTGAGTACAAAAACAAAAATGACTTATTTTGAAACAAAAAATATTAAGGACTAAATGTGTACAAAAATATTAAGGTCTAAATGTGTACAAAATGAGAAATATATTATCTTATTAAGTCATTTTTCTCGGCTAACCTGGAGTAACCGGTCATAATGACTGAATGTATAGAGTTTAACAAGTTGAAGGGGTAAATGTGGACGAAAAAAAACTCAGTAACCAAATGTGTACAAATCGAAAAATATATTACCATCTAAAGTCATTATCCCATTAGAAAAAGTCAAAAGTTAATATACTTTTTAGCTTCTAGTGTTTAATAGAAAAGATAATAGATACGCAGATACACAAACACATGCAATGTGCTGTACTCTTTCACGCATTTTATAGCACTATACCAAAAAAAGGGTATTACTATATAAATAGGCTGAAAAAGAGGGGAGGCCATGGCCCCTCTATCCCTTTCTAGTCGTTGGATAAAGACAGTGCAAACGGCGAAGATGCGTACAACTGTGAATCAATCGTCATGCTTTATTGATGAAGAGGACCGATACCCGAACAAAGCAAGAAACAGATGTCAAAGTAGGGGACTGACGATTGGCAGGGGCATAGAAAGGTTGAAGGTGACAAGGGAGTCCGATGATCCACAAAATGTAAATTTTGATTTTTTTTTCGAGTTTTTCCTTTTCAGTTTTGTTTCCTTTGGTGGTAGTTGATTTTATATTAATTGAAAACTTAATTATATCTTATCATATTTATAGAAAATATTTTTTGCTAACAATCTTCTATCTCCTAATACATCGGTGATCTTTTTCAGAGACTAGAAAGATTTTATGATTTTTTTTTTATATTTTATAAGTTTTGAAAGATTAAAAATTATGTATCATTTCCTGTTTTTATTTTGCCAACCGGATCCTTTTGTATTATTATAATGAGAAATTTTCCGTTAGAATCCAAATATTTTCGGTCAGTTTACGGTTTTATTCCTATTTTTTTTTTTTGCCAAATTAACCCTTATAGTTTTTCAACATAAAATGAAAGATTATCATATAAAATTAGATAATCTAGATTTTTTTGTTTAAAAAATAAAATTTTAAATTAAATCGTAAATTATATCGAAATGACAAAATTTTATCGAAGATTTTTTTTTGTTATAATTATAAAAATAACATTTATTATTATACCAAATATTGTATTACTATTCGGGTCACTTCAAAAATAATGTTGCTTGTATGATTTGAAAAGAGTTC